TATAATACTACGTTGTATGAATGTTTCACAGTTTATGCATTCTACTATTGATGAATGTTTCCAGTTTGGGGCCAGTATGAATAGTTCTATATGAGCATTCTTTTGTATGTCCTTTGGTGAACATGTAAACATATATTGGTTTGGTATATGCCTGTAAGTGGAAATACTTAGTCACGAAGTATACATATATCCAGCTTTGATATGTAAGTTTTAAGGAAAAAGGTTTTTGATTGTAGTTATTGTTGTGCATCTTGTTTAGATACTTGCTGTTTGGGGCTTAGTTATTGTGGTGGTAATGGTTTTGTCATTGTTAAGAAAGAAGCAATATATTTCTTATGAGGCATTTTTTCTAAAAGTTTACAGTATTCAACTTTTACTGTTTTTAATGGTTTTTAAAATGAGATGTATTTTTGATGGAAACAAATGCACAAAACTACCATCTTAAAAGAAGAGTAATAATAAATAGAAGTTTTACTGTTCCACTAATCCCAGTATATTTTCAATCTCAACCCCTTTGGTACATCCTTGAGAGATACCTGCTCTACTGTAGCTGAAATTTTCTGTTTTTCTTGCCCTCTACGTATATGTGTAAGAATTTTAAGCTTTAGGATACCAATTAGAATTTAGCTTCGTAGAATGTGTTCTTTTCATTGTGTGGAGGGCAACATGTGTGAGGCACTTCAGGATTAGAAAGTAAGTTAAATGATAATGTTAACAAAGTGTAGGGGTTTGGCTCATTAATTCAGCAAAATTAGAAATCTTTTCTTTTGCTAGAAGAGAGTATTGGAATTCTGGAGTAGGGGTTTTTATTTTCTTTCCACGATGGTACTGCTCTTGAGCCAAACTGTACCATTTCGTATAGTTTCAATTCTGTGGTTCATTTCTTTGACTACCACCAAACTACACCCTAAATAATCACAAGTTTATGTATTGGAGCTATGTTGTAGTCAATGAAAAGTCACATATCTGGTTAAGGTAGTCACATTTCATAGATAATGACTCCCATTCAAATAGGGAATACATTAGGATGCCTCTCTTAAAGGGATGCTGTTTGTGAAAAATATTACCTGTGATTCAGTGATAAAATTATAGACATGTCTTTTTCTCCGTCATTGGAAGTTGTTAAGCATTCAGGGTAAGGGTGTTTGAAAGGAAGACACAGTTCATTAGTGTTTGCTCTCAGAGGTGCATTTTATTGGGAGAAGAAAAGTGGGCTAACTAGATGGGTTATTCAGAACATCTCAGCCTTACACAGGGAATTTATCGTAATTGAATATTTCAGTGGAACATTATTGGAAGGGCTTGGGTGGACCCATAGCTCAGAGAAGCAAAGGGGTTGTTTCTGAATGTGCTAGCGTGTGATAGGTTTAATTACTTGTTTATCGCCTCTGCTGTTTGGATTACTTTCTCTGTGTACATATAATTAGGCATCTCTCTCTGTAATATACTCCTAAACCTTGTACTGTCCTCACAGCTGACTAAATGATCAAGTAGCTTCAGTCACCTATCGTTCAGTTTCTCTTTCCATCATTATGGTTGTCGTTTGCTTATTTCCAGGCTAATTCAAAGTGTTATTGAGAATCTATCAATTTGTTGTCCCATGTAGTATAGTTAATAACGTTTTGGGTACCATAATTTTAGTCTTTTAAAAAAATAATAAAAATACTAACAGCTAACAATAGCTAACGTCTATTAAATGTTTATTAGGAGCTAGATGTTTTTATATATGTTTCTCTAATTCTCACAGTAACCTGGCTGAGGCATATGTAATACTCCAGTTTTACAGATGAGGAAACTAAACCAGAGAGATTAAATAATTTGTCCCAAAGTTACACAGCTAATGTGAGTGACAGAGTTAATATTTAGATTCAGGACTTTCATTCTCTAACACCATGGGTCTTTATGATCTCTCTGTGTTGTTTGCTGGTTTTGCTTTGGACTTCACAACTCGACTTGTTTACTTATCTTATCCCTTCCACTTGGAATGGCATCTCCTTAACAGTTTCAGACTCTACCAGTAGCCAATGTACCTATCATTTAAGCCTTAGGCCAAATGCCACCCTTTTCTAAAGTTTTTCTTACAGTGCCATTTGGAAGTAAACTGTCTCTTTTGAACTCCCATAATACTTTGTGCCTTTCTTTGTATATTTATTTTGCCTTCAGTTATAATTATTGCTAAACATACCTTAATTTACCCAATGGAGACGGTCTTTGATTTCCTGCACTGTAAGACAGCCTTGAACACTGAAGCTTCTCAGTATTTGTTGACTTGATATTACAGGTAAAAACCCATCAAAACAGAAGTAAACACTATTGATGCTTTTTAAAAAAAATTGGAAGAACATGGCAACATGGTAATGATTTGTATATTTATGATCATTTTTGCTTCTTGTTATTTGAAAATCTTGCTAAATTTTGCTGGTGGTATAATTAAATGTGGCATGCATTTCCTGGTTTAGTGAAAAGGTTCATAATCTTAGCTATCATTTTCTTTAAAAAAAGATAATAAAGAAATGTCTGTTTGACAGGCAGGAAGAACCCGCTGTTTTAATTTTGTTCACAGCAGTGGGTCAGATTATGATCTTTTGGAGCTAGCTTTGATAATAGACTCAATATAATATTGGAATTCAACAATTGGTTATTGTCGAGTATATTATCTCTTGCACTGATGGCTGTCAGTGCGATTGCCAGACTGTTTAGAATAAGTTTATGGCTGTTTAGAATAAGTCTATGGCAAATAGTCTACTCTTCTCTAAATACAATGTTTCCATTTATTACTTACTGTAGTATTTTATATGTGCATTGTCTTTTTGTTTTGTTTTTAGTTTTCTTCTCAGAGAGAGGCAATTAAACCAAAACTTGCTCACTAGTGGGGGTGGGGAATCTTATTATTGATTCTGTACTCCAATTTTGAATGATATTTTTTCTTCTAAACCTCTTTAAATAGGCCTTTTCCCTCTTCTAACTTAACTGATTTACTTTAACATTTAATTCAAAGATTAACAAAATTTTAAATAAACACTTTTATGGTGATAAAGGCACACTGTGGTTGTAATTTATTGAATTTTGAGTTCCGAGTCGCTGTTAAACTAGGATTTCTGACTATGCTTTTTTAGTTTCTTCTATCTGAATTCTTGAAACATCGTAAGACTCTATTTACTTCCCTCAAAGGAGAAGTCCTTTTGTTAAGATAATATTTTTTAAAATGGGTATCAGTCTTTTTAATCTCATGTCTCTTAGACTTTATGAAATTACTCATGAAGCAAAAGGTGGATAGGAGACAGTAACTCAAAGAAGTCTTTTGGCCCTTGAGCTAAGACAGTGGATAAAATTTACACAAATTACGAGACCAGCAAAAGCACTCTTTTTTTTTTTTGACACGGAGTCTCGCTCTGTCGCCCAGGCTGGAGTGCAGTGGCCGGATCTCAGCTCACTGCAAGCTCCGCCTCCCGGGTTTACGCCATTCTCCTGCCTCAGCCTCCCGAGTAGCTGGGACTACAGGCGCCCGCCACATCGCCCAGCTCATTTTTTGTATTTTTTAGTAGAGATGGGGTTTCACTGCGTTAGCCAGGATGGTCTCGATCTCCTGACCTTGTGATCTGCCCGTCTCGGCCTCCCAAAGTGCTGGGATTACAGGCTTGAGCCACCGCGCCCGGCCAAAAGCACTCTTAATTTTAAGGTTTGAGGATCTGATTATTAAATATCCATTGAAATAATCAGATTAAAGCAGTCAATATTCTTTAAGCATTTGACATTAACCAGAATCTACAAAATGATGAAAGTTTTAGTTCTAGTGACAGGAATTTAAATTGTCCTTCACAAAATTCCTATTGTTGTTAATGTTAAGTTATTGCAAAAGTAACACATGTTAATTCCAGGGAACTAGTATAATTCTAATAGTAGCTAACTTTAGAGTTCATTATATTTTGCTATTTAGTGTAAACTTTTTAATCCTTATAACAATCATATGAGGCAAATACTGTTATTTTTCCTATTTCACAGATGAGGAAACCGAGCACAGAGAAATGGAGGGACTTTACTGAGGCCATACAGTATTTGAACTCAGGCAGTTTGGCCTTAGAGTCTGTGCCCTTAACCTCTATTCAGTATTGCTTCTCACTGAATGGTTAAGATTTGGGGATTATTAAGATAGACCTGGATTTAAATCATGGCTGCCACTTTATACTCTTGGGATAGGAGTATATTTCTTGACTTCTCTGAGCTTCAGTATTCTTGTTTATAAAACAAAGGTTGTTTTAGGGATAAAATAAGATACATTAACTGCTTATCCCACTGTTCCCCATATGCTGTGCTTGTTCAATAGATGGTATCATTTAAAACAATGAGAAGCAAAATGAAAAAAAGGCACCAAAACAGAACAATAACCATTGCTAACATTTCGAATTATCCAGTCTTGTAAAATATGTTTCTTGATTTTATTAATATATTTTTGCTTATATTAGTATATTTTTCTTTCATGTATAACTTTTTCTTGTTTTTGTTTCACAAAATAAGGTGGGAAGACTTGGATTTGCCTCTATCACTTAGCAGTAAGGCAAGCCTTTTTCGGCTTTTATGCTAGCCAAAACTTTTTTTTTCTCTGTTTAGAAGTGGGTAGATGGAGATAGAGGAGAACATGGAAGTACACACACTTTTTTTTTTTTTAAACAAAAACAGGATTATATTTAAAATTTCTTATATAACATCTACAGATCAACAAAATCTAGGATGCTAGAAGTAGGGAGAACATGTGCTAGTATTACTTTTATTAAAATAACAAACTCCAGTTTCAGAATATTTAGAGTTGTTAACTGAAAATACTCTATTTGAATAAGCAATCTTAATGAATGTAGACTATTTCCTCTTGATGAGTGAGCTTGTAGAAGTCTGACCATATATTGCATTGTTAAATACATTCATTGGGTGTAGCATAACCTCCTGTCTTTCTATAGCTTTTATCAACAAAGCATGGCTAATGCTTTTTTTTTTTTTTCTTTTAGATCTACACACAATGAGCTGGAAAAGAATCGGTGAGTCAGTGATGAGGTGCAGCTTTCACTTATGTTTAAAAGCAAACTCACCATTTTACCTGTGAAAATAATGTAATAGTGCATATGTAGTTGTAATTTTACTTTTCAGATGTACAGCCTATTGTGAGTCTGATACATATGTATTTTCTCCAAAAAATGACTTAAATAGTAAGCTTATAGCAGCTAGAAGACATAAATACATTTTTAAAGCTTATTCGAATTTGAGTTTTAGGTGTAGCCTTTATTTCTGTCTCTGAAAACGAGTTAATTATTAAAAGCTCATGGTTTAAATGTGGTTTTGCTAAAGGGTAGTATTTCTAAAGAGTAGGTAATAAGCATTACAAATTGGAGGGTATTGAATTTTTCTTTCTTTGTAATTTGTTCATTCATTCATTCATTCAATTTATTCATGCATTCAACAACTATTTATCAAATATGAGCTGTATGTCAGTGCCAGACAGGCAGAATGCTTTATATAGGAAATATAAGAATATATAAGATAGTTTTTATCCTTTCCTTAAGGAATTCAGAACTTTGTAAAGGAAAGACAGGTAATTAAAGTACTATATAATGTGGCAAGTATGGTAATGGAGAAGCAGAAGGTACTGGACGTACTGAAAGATATTTTGGAAGGTCACCTGATTCCTTTTTGAAGGGAGTCTTGGAAAGTCTGCAGAGGATGGTGAGTGAGCAGTGTATACTGAGGAAGCTGCAAAAGGGTTCAGGATGGCTATAAAAGATTGTAACATGAAGTAAAGCATGCCAGGTATTGAAAAGTCTTGTCTACCATGCCGAACGAAGAGTTTAGACTTCCTGAGATCCATAGGGAGCAGTTAAATAATTTTAAGGTGGTTATCATTTGATCAGCCTGTTTCTTGGAAATATCATTCGGCTACAGTTTGAAGAATTGGTTGGTTGGGAGAAGGGATACCAGAGGCATAAAGACGCTTTTTAAGGCTATGCAGTAATTTAGGTAAGAGATGATGGTGGCCATTGAGATAGAAGTAGACAAAGTAAAGAGTATGGAATGGAGTCAATAGAAATTGGTGATTAGTTAGTTATGGATAGTTGAATCTTAGATGGTATTACTATTAATTGAGGAAAGAGAAGAAGAGGACAAGTTTGGAAGAGAACATAAGAATTGTAAGAGTAAAATACTTTCTTTTTGGTATAGCGATTAGGTTAATAGCAGCCAGGCATGGTGGCTCATGCTTGTAATTCCAACACTTTGGAAGGCCCAGGTGGGAGGATCACTTGAAGCAAAGAGTTCGAGACCAGCCTGGGCAGCAAAGTGAGACACCCTCCATCTCTACAAAAAAATAAAAATAAATTAGCTGGGTGTGGTGGCATGCAGTCCCAGCCACTCAGGAGGTTAAGGCAGGAGGATCACTTGATCCCAGGAGTTGAAGGCTGCTGTGAGCCATGATCATGCCATTGCACTGCAGCATGTGTGACAGAGTGAGACCCTGTCTTAAAAAAAAAAAAAGAGATTAATAACAAACTGAAATCACATGTACCAGCTGTTTTTGACAAATAAGATCTCATGACCTTCAACTTTCTGTCCTCTCTTTAATACAAAATAGATTGACTAGCCTAACTGCCTCATTGCAAGTAAGTTTAAATGTCAAATCCCCTTGAAAAGGCTTAGCATAGTCTTTTAGGCAGACTCAGTGGCTGTTACTACTTTGTTTGCACGATACTCTGTTTTTGTCTCCTATTGTAAGGCTGAATAGTTAGCATTGTAATTATTTGTTCGTATGTCTCTTTCTGCCAAATGACTATGCCCCAAATGCAAAGATTCTGTTTTGTTCAATTTTGTATCCTCAGTGCCTAGCATTTGAGGCATGTATAGGAGACAGTGGCTCTCATATTGAGTGAAGGATAAAACTGGAGCTCAAAGTTGAGTGGTCGAGTCAAAGACATTTTGGTAGTTAGTGGTAGAAACTCCTTCGTTTTAAAGAATTTCTTTTCTGCTTTTAATTTCTGATTTATTAAAGATCTGGATAGATAAAGGAAGGGCATATCTGGCTATGTTAAACATAACAAAAAAGACTGAGAAATGAAAGTTCTGAGGATCCTAAAAATAAAACCTTAAATTGAAGTTTACTCTAAATTAGATCATAGAGTATGTTTTGGGCCCATGGATTAAATATTGATAAACATGTGGCTTTTATAGTTACTTCATTTGGATGTGGTCCTTGGGAGACCCTCATTGGAAACCTGGTGAAAACCATTAACACTGGAGTAGAGACTCTTTTTAGTAACTATTTGGAATGGAGCTTTAAAAATCTTTGATTCAGTTTTGTTGAATGTATTTTGCAGATTCTTTCTGACTCATTGATAACCTTTTTAAAAACCCTCACAGAAGATGTGTGCATCACCCATAGTATTACTTTGGTATGCCATATAAGTTGTTTAATCTAGCATCTAGCTGTGGCACAGGTATAACACGTGTGGTTTTATTACCTGGGCTGTGTGTAATCTCCAATAAAAGTCATTTGTTCCTATTTTATTTACTTAGATATAAGACTTTTAGACTGGTTTCTTACCCTACCTTACTTCACTTAAGGCGTGATTTCCTTTTCTTCTTCTAATAGCTTTGGAAGTGCTAACAGATATTCTTTATTAGCCCAGAGGACTAATAGACATTGTTTATTTCTCAAATTATATCTTCCCCTCTCTCTTTACTCCTTTTCCTTTCGCTGTTCCCTGAGGCTTCATTGAAAGATGATATAGAATTAACTTTTCCAAGATATGTTTGTTTTTAAAAGGGATTTTTATCAACAAAAATAAAACTCAAATTTAGAATAATAATCTGTACCCCGCTTCTGGAAAGTTACCAGTGGTGGTCTGGCAAAAAACAAAAATACTGGTAGACGTAGGATAGGGGAGGTGGTTTAGCAAGAAGGTGGCACAGGAATATTTTTAAAATTTAAGCCTATGTTGTTTTTATGTTTTAAAGCCCCCATCCAGTTCTGTTTAACAGTCCTCTCTACCAAGGCATCATTTTTATTTGACATGTTAAAGAAAGAAAAGTTAATCTAGCTTTGGCATCCTTTAAAATAAATAGAATTTTGGCTTTACCTTTGATATGCCTTTGAGTGTGATGTTATATGAAGACAGTAACTCACTATCAAAAGATTAGTTTTGTCTTCATTCTGAAAGACATTCCTGAAGTAATTCATATTTTTAAAAATTTGTTGCTTTATATAACATATTCGTGTCAGAAATTACTTTTTTCCTTTTTAGCTTGGTTCTGAAATCTTGGATATAAGCTTCTCTGCGTCAGTGTTTTTTTTTTTTTTTTTTTTTTGAAACAGAGTCTTGCTCTGTCACCCAGGCTGGAGTGCAGTGGCGTGATCTCAGCTCACTGCAAGCTTCGCCTCCCGGGTTCACACCATTCTCCTGCCTCAGCCTCCCGAGCAGCTGGGACTACAGGTGCCTACCACCACACTCGGCTAATTTTTTTTCTATTTTTAGTAGAGACGGGGTTTCACTGTGTTAGCCAGGATGGTCTCCATCTCCTGAGCTGTGATCCACCCGCCTCGGCCTCCCAAAATGCTGGGATTACAGACTTGAGCCACTGCGCCCGGCCTGAGTTAGTGTTTTTTTATTGGAGCAAATGGCAGTGAGATTTGGAGTAGGTGATTTTAAATTGCTAATGAATGGCTAAGTAATTCCAGATAGCTATCTCAAACAAAGCCCTAAAATTGTTGAAGCCCTGGGATCTGGCCTAAAGGATATAATAGCCACCAGATGTTGAGGTTCATACTACCAGATCTCCAAGGGAAGTCTAGTGGTGGAGTTTGGGTTTTGACAGGCCCAGAGTAGTTGGTTGTGATCCACAATTACCCCAGGATTCCTATAGCCCATTAGGGAGCTCTAGGTAGTTTCAGGACTGATAGAGAAATTCAGATTTTCTTCTTGGATAGGTCTTGGGAGCTGTTTTCTGCCCAAATCCTTATTGGTTATACTGAGTCTGCTCTAGATGGTTCAGAGCATTTGTTACCTGTGTACCAACCTTGTCTGCCTAGGCCCACAACAGGTCATAATAGGCCTAGGAGATGGAGGGGAAGCAAGATACTTCAGATGTTCTGCATTCCTCAGGAACCTATGTGAATCATCTCATAGTAAACTTAATGAGACTTTGAGATTGAAGAATTAAGATATTACTTTGCCCATTGGCTTATCTTACAGGTTGGGTCCTTTGTCAGAGAAGACACAATTCAGTATCAGTACAGATTTTAGATTGCCTCATTGTTTTTTCATTTTTTTAATTCAAATTGCTGATGATGTTTTAGAAAGAATCAAAAACTCTGGCTAGGCATGGTGGCTCATGCCTGTAATCCCAGCACTTTTGGGAGGCCAAGGGAGGTGGATTGCTTGAGGCCAGGAGTTTGAGACTAGCAGGGCCAACATGGTGAAACCCCGTCTCTACCAAAATTACAAAAATTAGCCAGGCATGGTAGTGCATCCTTGTAATCTCAGCTTTTTGGGAGGCTGAGACACAAGAATTGCTTGAACCTGGGAGGTAGAGGGTGCAGTGAGCCAAGATCATGCCACTGCATTCCAGCCTGGGCAACAGAGCAAGACTTGTCTAAAAAAAAATAAAATCAACAACTTTAACAGGACTCTGATGGTCAAGAACCTTAGTGCTAGAAGGGCCAAAAGAGAACACTGGACTAATAATGTCTTCCTAGGCAGAGGAGAAGTGGCTAAATATTTGTTAAAATAAAATAAAATAAAACAAAATAAGAAAAGGATGTCTAGTGAGTGGTAATAGGTATTCTCCATATAGGGACTTTCACATACCTCTGAGGGAAAAATGGAAATTAGCATTTATAGAGTTCTTACTGTGTTCCTCCACTGTGCAGGGCTGTTACATAATTCTGTAAGGTAGAAAGGCTGAAAGTTTGAGTCAAAGTGTCAAAAACTGGCCATTTTATCATCATAGCTACAATTTGAAACAAGATGGATATGAGCACAAAACAGTTCTAATC